TTAATATGTTAACTTTTAAAAAATATTTTCCCACAGTGGGGAAAAACTGCAAATAAAACAAGAATGAGATATCACTTCTGTTAGGCTGGCATAAATTGAAATGTTAAAAATGCAATAGGCATTTTTAAGATGTGAGTAAACATAAAAACCTCAGTCGTTGGTACAAGAATACTAACCAGAGCCGGGTGTTTGGTGGCTCACACCTGTAATCCTAGCTACTCAGGAGGCTGAGATGTGAGGATCACAGTTTGAAGCCAGCCTGGGCAAGAAAAGCCATGAGACTCTTACCTTTAATTAACCACCAGAAAACTGGAAGTGGCACTGTGGCTCAAGTGTTAGAGCACTAACCTTGAGCAAAAAAGCTCAGCACCCAGGCCCCAAGTTCAAGACCAACAGAAAAAAAATGAAAGAAGGAAAAAAGAAAAGAATACCAATCAGACTTTTGTAATTTGAAGTTTGGGATCTTTTACTGGGGGGGAGCGGGGGTTGGAGGGAGATTGGAGCCCAGGATCCCTGGAGGAGGAGTATACATAATACATACCACAGAAGCAAACTCTGCAGTCTTAAGACAAATTCGACAATTCGACATTGCAACAAGGACAAGTCTCAAGAATATACAGGAGCTGGACACGGGTCACTCACATCTGCAATCCTAGCTTCTCAGGAAGCTGAGATCTGAGGATCCAGGTTCAAAGCCAGCCCAGGCAGAAAAGTCCTAGCAAGACTCTTACCTCCAATTAACCACTCTTAAACCAGAAGTGGGGCTGTGGCTCAAGTGGTAGAGTGCTAGCCTTGAGCACAAAGAGGCTCAAGGACAGTGCCCACACCCTGAGTTCAAGCCACCAACAGACAACAACCACCACAACAACAACAAATAGAAAGAGGGAGCGGGAGAGAGAGGGAGGGAGAGAGGAAAGGAAGGAAAGAAAGAAAGAAAGAAGAAAGAGAAAGAGAGAAAAAAAGAGAAAAAGAAAGAGAAAAAAAGAAAGGAAGAGAGAGAAAGAGTATACAGGAATAAGAAACACCATGGGATCACAGCGACCAAACCTGTCACTCTCCAAAAACCACATCGTGCAGTACACACTTAAATGTTCATTATGTTCATTAATGGAGAACATATGAACATTACAATTTATTCTTTGGACTTGAAGATTACCAATCAGTGGAAAAGATGCAAAATATCTACATAGCTCAAAATCAATACCAAGCCCCCTTTCTTGATATGGGAAGGACTGGGAGAGGCCAAAGAAATGATACAAAGTATGTGTAAGACAGCAATTGGTAGATACTAATTTAAATGAGGGGATACTGCATCTAACGTGGGAAACTTTTTAATATCTTAAAACCAGGCAACAGAGAAAACACAATCGATCTTCAGAGGCATGGATGCCTGCATTGGGCGGGGGGAGGGGAGAGAACTATTTATTTTTGTTTCATTTGTCACATTAAACATCATCTGAAGCAAATGCATCTGAAATCACATGTTAACCTTCAAACATTGGTGGTGGGGCCTGCATATACATAGTCCCACTATGTGATTTTTTTTTCTTTTTTTCAACCTATAGTCTCTCATAGGAAGGCCCAGTAAACTGTGGAGTGCAACTAGGAGGAGGCTGGTCGGGGCATAGCCTAGTGCCCTCCATTCCTGGCCTCGATTATCTAGTCCTTTCCACCTATCTCCCCGCCATGACAATCTACGTACCTCTCGCGGACTCAGATTTGGGGTTCCCGTCTCCAGCACCTGGAAATTTCTTCTGCCGGAGCTCTCGCTGTTAGAACTAGAAAAGTCACAACAGAGATCACCCAAAGCTGCCCTCAGGATCTCAGATTTTCAAAGTGGCCTATCGGGCGAAAGGACGCTGGTCTGCGCAAAGGCTGGCCAATCAGAAGCGCCAGAAAACAAGCTGCTTGGTGGAGTGTGCTCAGCTCACAGGGAGCATTGATGCCCACAAACCCCAAAACAGCTCTGGCCGCCTGGCCTTTGGGCCCAGGGAGAGCATTTGCAGTGCATAGACCATTGGGCCTGAAGCAGTCTCTTCTCCTGGAGTTCTGTGTTGCTACTGATCTGAAGCTGCAATCTTATAAATTCTCCTCTGCCTTGGAGCCCTGGCTCCTCCCTGAGCCCAGCTAAATGGCCAGAATTTCAGGTTTGAAATCCACTGAGACACCAAGGACAAATAGCTTTGAAATAAACTCATGAACCTGTTGTCCTGAGTAGACTGGACATCAGTAAGTTAAAGCTCCTGCGATGCCCAGAATATCCTACAAGGGTCAAAAACTACTGATCTAGGAGGAGTCCCACCCAGCAGCAAATATCCTATCTCTAAAATCGAGTTTTCTAGAGTAACCAAAGGCCAGAGAAGATGCTGATGAATTGTTGATCCCACAGAGTAATGTTGGCCCAATAATTCCTCGTTAACAGGTTCTGTATATCAGGTGCTTTTTCCATCATCTCTTTAGCAGGTTTTGTATATAAAAGTGCTTTTTCCTATAAATTTAACAGAAAGGTTACTTGGGTTATGTGCCTTGAGGCCTGAACATCTGTCATTAACTGGATTGTTGCCCCCAAAATTTATACTTAATGGAAACAGAAACCAGAGAATTGGTGTCCCTTGTCCATCCCTAAGCACCTGATATGTGTAATCAGAAATTAAGCATAGATCTGGTTGTTCCCAAGAACCCTACTTTTTTTTGGTTGGTTGTAGGGCTTGAACTCTGGGCTTGGGTGCTGTCCCTGCGCTCTTCAGCTCAAGGCGAGCATTCTACCACTTGAGCCACAGCGCCACATCTGGTTTTCTAGTGGTTTATTAGAGGTAAGAGTCTCACAGACTTTCCTGCCCTGGCTGGCTTTGAACCGCGATCCTCAGATCTCAGCTTCCTGAGTAGCTAGAATTACAGGCGTGAGCCACCTGTGCCCAGCTAAGAACCCTATTATCTTTAATGAAGCTGGAATTCCCAATACACTAAAGCAAATGCTCAGGAATAGCAGCAAGATGGAAAGCCAAATCCAATCCTTACAATACTTCAGTGTTAAAGAGATTAAGTGATACAGGCAGATACAAGGCTAAGTTAGAAGACAAGCAGCTCTGAAGTCTGAGGACACAACCTTCTCTACCCTCATTTACAATGTTCTTTCCTAAGGCAGGACTGGTAAGAGTTCTGATTTCCAGAACAAGAGATTGGAGGGCTTCCTTCTCACAAAGATACCATTACTTTCCTAATCAAAAAGAGCATTAATTTTTTTATCATACTATCTTTCTGGCAGAATATCTCAGTCCTGAGGCTTGAACTCCTGGCCACTGTTCCTGAGCCTTTTTGCTCAAGGTTAATGCTCTACCACTTGAGCCACAGCTCTACTTCTAGCTTTTTGTCCATTGGAGACGTGTCTCAGTAGACTTTCCTGCCTGGGACAAGTTTGAACATTGATCCTCAGATCTCAGCCTCTTGAGTAGCCAGGAAATCAGAACTCTTACCAGTCCTGCCTTAGGAAAGAACATTGTAAATGAGGGTAGAGAAGGTTGTGTCCTCAGACTTCAGAGCTGCTTGTCTTCTAACTTAGCCTTGTATCTGCCTGTATCACTTAATCTCTTTAACACTGAAGTATTGTAAGGATTGGATTTGGCTTTCCATCTTGCTGCTATTCCTGAGCATTTGCTTTAGTGTATTGGGAATTCCAGCTTCATTAAAGATAATAGGGTTCTTAGCTGGGCACAGGTGGCTCACGCCTGTAATTCTAGCTACTCAGGAAGCTGAGATCTGAGGATCGCGGTTCAAAGCCAGCCAGGGCAGGAATGTCTGTGAGACTCTTACCTCTAATAAACCACTACACTAGAAAACCAGATGTGGCGCTGTGGCTCAAGTGGTAGAATGCTTGCCTTGAGCTGAAGAGCGCAGGGACAGCACCCAAGCCCAGAGTTCAAGCCCTATGACCGGACCCAAAAAAAAAAAAGAAAGAAAGAAAGAAATTAAATTACAATACTGATTGTTTTAATTATCTAAATCCTATTGGGCATTTGATAGTCAATAATGAAATTAATATTATAATTAAAATAAGTATGGAAAATTTTAAATTCTGATTGGTTTTTGCATTCTTTCAGTGCTGGCAATCAAACCCAGGATTGTTGCCTAGTTTAGACGAATGCTTTTCCATTAAGCTACATCCTTCACTGATTTTTTTTAAAAGAAAACTTGCCACCAATACAAAATTGAATGGATTTGCTAAGTGATGACCAACACAATAGGGAAACGAAGACAACTGAAAGAATATCACGAATTTAAAGATAGACAACTGCAATATGCTATTGATAAAACATCAAAATTGTTTATTGTGATGTTAAAGTGAACAATATTAAAAGCCATTTTATTCCAATTTATGATGACTTTGATAAGTGTTAAAGTGAACAATATTAAAAGCCATTTTATTCCAATTTATGATGACTTTGATAAGCATTTTCCTTCCAAAAGTGCTGAACAGTGCTATTTCCTTGCCTGAAATAAAGTCAAATATTCAACAAAAAAAATGTAATAGGACAAGAACTTGTAACTTTCACCAGCTATAATATGGATTGAATTCTTGCACAAAAAGAGATGGTCGCCGGGCGCCAGTGGCTCATGCCTATAATCCTAGCTACTCAGGAGGCTGAGATCTGAGGATCACAGTTCAAAGCCAGCCTGAGCAGAAAAGTCTGATCTGGGCAGAAAAGTCTGATCTCCAATAAACCACTAGAAATCCGGAAGTGGCACTGTGGCTCAAGAGGTAGAGCACTTGCCTTGAGCTGACGAGCACAGGGACAGCGCCCACGCCCAGAGTTCAAGCCCCATGACAAAAAAAAAAAAAAGAGAGAGATGGTCAAGAGAAAATAGTATTTAAGATATGAGAACTTCATTGCAAAAATGAGAAAAAAAACTAAAAAGTATTTTGTAAAATCTGAAAGTTTGAGTCACCAAACAATTGCTATATATACCTTGCTAAAAACAGCAAACATTAAGTCAATTCAAAATTTCAAAATTTGAGATTACTTTTATGTAGCTTTATAAAGCAAAATAGGGTATATTTTCTCACAATTGCAAATTTTCAAAGATATGCTGAACATAGATACAAACTGAGAAAGTTTGTCACAGTCATCTGACAGAAGACTGTTATACAAAATATATGAAGAACATGAAAAGAAAATTAGCAAGCTATTTTACAATGGTCTATTTGAACAGTTATATAACCAAAGTAAATATAAAGATGAAAAGCACAAAAAAAAGATATTCAACATCATATATCTTTAAGGAGTTGCAAATTAAAAGTATTCCATAACTCAGGAATTTTCTTTCAAAACAAACCTGAGACAAAATAAGAGTAGTTAAGACCTATTATATATAATGAAGCCAATCTGGACATTAGTTACAATTGGGAAAAAAAAACGAGCACATATGCAAGTACTTGAGCAATGCTAGTGACATAAAATGACACATTAAAAAAAGTACTTTGTGAAAATTCACTGAGAATGTCAAAATCTACATAAATGAGGTAGGTGATTTATCACATCAAGAATATTTGTCCTTTAGTAAAGGAATATATTTTACGGGACTCCACAGTAAGTATATTAACAACCAGGAAGCTATATCTATTTCTGTATTTATACACTGAAAGGGAACAGGAGGAGGAAGTAATACTGTGTCTGAAAAGCTAACTAGGACATGAATATGGTTGAACTGGTTATTAAGATGTGACTTCAGTACCAGAGGTGCCAAAATAGGGAGACTAAAGCAGAGATAGTGGCAAACCAGTGCTGTGTGCATTCTCAACAGTCACCATCATCATGAGCACCTTGGGCTCCAGGCATCCCACTGGACAGGACTCTTACGGAGCTGTGCTCTAAATTTTTCAGGATTGTCCTTCTGAAGGCCAGTAAACTGGAGCCTTTATCTACACATGATAGTCTCCCTTTGGTTGAGGGTTCTCTCCTGGTGTTAATTCCCCCTCACTTTCACTCTGCCCAGCTAGCTGGTGACCTGAGTGAACTCATCTTCAGGGAAAAAAAAAAAAGCTCCAATAAAGAAAGGCAGATGTGCTGAACCAAGAACAAGGGTTTGATGAAAGGTATTGGAGCCAAAAATGATTTTGATATTGTCAAAGAACAAACAGAAAGCAACTACAAATTGAAAACCAAAGCCCTGAAACCCTCTGAAGAATGATGTACACTATGTAGCTCACTAGTGATTTAACAATCACTCTTACCTCATTGAAACTAACCATCTGTAGGATTATCAGTCTTCATATTCATTAATCCAAAAACATTAAATACCAAGTAAAAGCCCAACACTGTTCTAGGAACTGGAGTTGCAGCAATGAAGAAAAGGGACCAATTTTCTGCCTTTATGGGATTTTCTCTGCTGGTTAAAACAAGGAGACTATTCCTTTCCTTACTCATCAGGAGGAGGCAGGAACAAAGGAGAATGTTGATAAACCTGGAAATAGGGTAGGAGAGTATCAGAAAAGGAAGCTCTAGGGAAGGTAAACATATGAGAACCAGTAGTCATGTTGTAAAAGGACACAACTCCGGCCTCACAGTCTACAAAAATACCCACAACTAGAGGCTGATCACTCAGACGAAGAGGAGTTGGGGGAGAGGTAAGTGCCACAATCTGTTTACACAATCTAATGGTCCAGAATCCAAACTCAGGTTCCTGCCTCATGTCGGTGCCCCTCTGTACATTTTCCAAACAAACTCCCAAATCCCAACCAGTTCCTTCTCCTACATCCACTTCAAAGTAGTGTCTTCCTGAACTAAAGCCCTCACTGCCCAGGACACAGGGGAAGGCAGTAAATCTCCTGGATGAAGCCTCAAGATTCTCCTTGGAGCACCCACGAGTCACTTGTCGCCGATCATCAGACAGAAATAGGTCAGGATGTGCAGTGCTAGGATCCAGAGTCACACTGACTGCAAAACAACCACCAAAAACCAACATAATCAAAAAATGTTTTTTGAAACTGACAATTTAATTTTAAAACTTTTGTTATTTTTTTTAAATTGTCTTGCTACATAGCTTAGATTTGTCTTGAACTTATGAACCTCCTATCTCATTTCAGCCTCAGGAATGTACCACCCCACCCAACCACAATTTATTTTAAATAAAACAGCCTATACTCAAATTCAAACCTTGCTTCTTACTAGCAATGTTAGCTGAGTATAAAGTGAACATTATATTATAGACAATAGCAGTAAAAACTAGCATGTAAGTTCCTAATTAGATAATACTGTAGATAATATATATATTTTTATATGCAAACTCACATTTCAGATTTATAATACAAAGTATATTTTATATGTATATATTTTAGTAGTTTTCTTTTTAAAAAGCCAGTCTATTATACATATTCTGTATGTCCTAATATATACAAAATATAATGTATATTACACAGAAATATACAATTTATATATTTTATATATCAAAGTTTTTAATATAAATTCAATAATTGTTATAACTCACTAACTGATAATACTGAGATTATTGAGGTCTTCTGAATCAGAAGTCACCATAAAGGAAAGTATGTCTTAAGATGGGTGTCAGTAGCTCATTCCTGTAATCTTAGCTACAACAGGAGGTTGAGGACTGGAGGATCATAGCTCAAAGTCACTCAAGGAAGAAAAGTCCACTAGATTCCATTTCCAAAATAACCAGCAAAAAGCAAGGCTAGAAGCATGGCTCAAGTGGTAAAATGTCAACCAAGCAACTGAGAAGCCCTGAGTTCAAACCTCAGTAGCAACAAAATATTGTGGGGTAGGGATATGCCTACCCTAAATATGAAATTTTACTGACCAAAAAGCAGAACAAAATTGTAAAATACCATTCACAAATCAGGAGAAGATACTGGCTACAGTGAGCTCTCAGTACTCAATAAAGAAAGAATTGAATAAATATGTTCATACCACTGGGAATTTTGGATAAATTAGAAATCTCTGAGTGAATGGACATGTAAAGAAAAAAAAACTACAGATACTTAAGTCCATGATTAGCAATATTTGAAACCTTTAGATAGGCATACGCGATCAATTATAAACAAAAATTTAGGGAGCTATATGGTAGGGGTTTTTTCTTGTTATGGGATACAATTTCAACATCTGTAGTATCTAGTGAAATTATGAGGTGCATCTTTCACATCAACATTTGCATATCAGGCATGGTACTCTAAAGGATGTGTCCACCGTATTAGGATATAAGGCAGAGACCCAAGTAAAATGCATTAATATTTCCACAACAAAACATACACTCAAATAAGGGAGACAAAAAAAGACTTCAAATGATCTCATACCATTGCACTTCAGATTTAGCCACTGTGGGAGGCTAACTCCAAGGTGACCTTCCATGTTCCCTTCCTTCTCTTTAAGTGTGGGAAGAGCCTGAGTACTGCTTCTGACTAATAGACTGTGGCAAAGATGATGGGATATAACTTCTGACATTGGTTTAATACACCATCTAGCTAGGAGATTTGTCTTTCCAGAGCTCACTTTGAAGAAATAACTAGTCATATCAAGAACCCATGTGCACAAAAGTTGAGGGCAGGACAGGCTCTAATCAACTGTCAACAAAAAGAAAGAGCAGGAAATTCTATTACCCTCAGGGAATAATTCTGCCATTAACCTGTGACCTTAGAAAAAAACTGGTTTCTAGAACACCACTAGACAAATTTGTATTAAACCATTAAATTTGTGATAATTTATTTGTAGCAACATAAAATTCACAGTCACAAAATAATTTGAAGTTAGTTCCAATAGTGAAGCCAAATATATCATTATAAGACTTGCTCTTTTCAAACCAGAAATAATGGTGCACGTCTACAGTTCCACTACTTGAAAAGCTGGCCTTGGTTAAATACCAAGATGGAAAACTCTATAATCAAGAGTATTTTGAATTTTATAATTATAAATTGCACAAAAGGCCTAAGCACTGATGAACACAAAGAAGCAGGAAGCTTAGGCCTTAACTTCAATAAAATCACTTCTTATAATTCTAACATTTACCTGAATATTCTCAGTTAAGATCCTAATATATATTGAAAATATATCTCATAATACTTACATAGCTTGCTTTCATAGCTCTAAGAACTTAAGTTGTAAGAGCATGAGGTGGCCCTGATCAGATGACAGTTACTGTGCTACAGGCAACCATTAATGCACTCATTTCTCAGATGGGGAAATTCACTGACTAGCATTGCCTATAGTGGCATGGTAATCCAAGAAGACCAGATCTAGAAGGGACAGCAGTGATAACCAGTGTATACAGCATACTAAGTATGGGAACACAGCAAAAAGGGAAAATGTAACAGCATGATGAAAATAAGTGAACCAACTCTGATTGAGAGCCTGTCCAGGACAGATGGTGACCCTGATTCCTAAAGACCCTCCAATCCATAGCATTTAGAGATTATTGGTTCACATACCTTGATAACGCTTTACTGTTTTCTTCACATCAAAATAAAGCTCAGAGACATTACACATAGTATGGATCTCCAGGAAAAAGTTCTCAGGTTCTTCCAGCTTCACAGCCGAACTCCTACAACAGCAGAGGCCACAGATTGCCTCAGTGTTACATTCCCTTCAGATCCCTATGCCCTCCAGGCTCCCTTCCCACAATCATGCAGGGCTTACCTGACCAAAGCATCTTTCACACCCTGTTATGGAAAAACAAAAACAAAAACCAAACAGAAGGTAAGTGTGCCAACATCAAAAATTCATGGGCAGTTTTCCATAACCATTCCTCCCAAGGAAGAAGAGAGAGCTACCCAGCCATAAATACAGATGCACACTCACATGGAATGATTCCCATCCCAACCTCTGAGCTGACTCTAAGAATCTGCAACCATTTTGTGGAAGCCCGTGGGGAACTGTAATGTGCACAAGGACATCAGCCTATGTGCTTTCTAAGGAGAAGACCAGAACTTTGTCATCCTCCCTGTAGCAAAATGGGCTTCCAGTGAGCCCATATTAGAGGTCACTTATCACACAGGTCCTTTTCAGGTCAATCAAGCCATAGCCTGTGAGACTGGGATCCTGAGGTCAAGCAGCAACGATCACAGGGTGGTAGAACAGACATGCTCTATTCTCAACCCTGGAGAGTCACCACCAGTGCCTTGTGTGGAGCCTGGATTATGAATCTCAGCTGTTTATCTTAAGATGACACACTCATCATACAGTTGCATGAAGCATGACTTCTACAAGTAAATAAGGGAACAGTTCAACCCTCATGTTGGCTGCCATACTGTCACCATTTGTCACCTGGAAGAGGACTTCAGGAATAAGTCTTCAGTAGAAATCTGAGTGCATGGGTCAAAGGGAAAACAGGGGCTGGAGTTAGCCCAGGGTTCTATCTGGCTACTGTATATCTGCATAATGAACAGAAATTATTGTATAGTCTAGTGGAGGCTATCTTGATGAAACTAATGTAGCATCCAAAAGAACATTACCTTACTTCCCCAGTCTAATGTGCCATTTGGGTGGAGGCTTGCCTTCACAATCCTCCCATGCTTCCTTACCGTTCTCTCACCAGGTCAGTGACACATACCTTCTTTGCCTGCTTTAAGGCCACAGCCTCACCTGAAGCATATTCTGGACTGAGCCTTGACATTTTGCCTCCAGCTCTAGGATATGGCTCTGGAGTTCACTGCTCTTCTGCTCCAGACTGGCCTTGCTGTCCCTCATTCTCTTCAGCATCTGCTCTTCTTCTTTCTCCAGCTTCCAGATATAAGATTTCTCTTCCTCATGCAGAAAGCTCCGGAGATTCTTGAAGTCAGACTTTATTTTTTGTCTCTTTCTATTTATCTCTTCCTAGAGTCACAAAGTATGGATGAAAAGTAGAAAAGAATCAAATATCTATTCAGATACATAAACAAAATATGGCGCATAAAATGGATATTCAATCTTAAGAATGACCCATGCTACAAGAATGAACCTTGATGATACGCTGCTAAGTGAAAGAAGAGAGAAAATAGAGAATAGATATTTCAAGTTCTTACTTGTATAAAGTACTAGTAATAGTTGAATTCATCATCACAGAAAACAATACAGTTGTTACAGGTATTAGGGGAAAAAAGAAATACAGGAAAGTTCATGTTTAGTGGAAACAGGGTTTCAGTTTGGAAGATGTATAACATAATGGAGATGGCCATGGCAATGCGGAGCAATACACAAATACTTAATGCCCCTGAAGTATAAATTAAAATAACTAAGGTGGCAAATTATCCAAGCACTGGTAGCTGATACCTGTCATCCAATTCAGGAGGCTGAAATCTGAAGACTGAGGTTCAAAGCCAGCTCAGGCAGGAAAGTTCGTTGAGACTTATCTCCAATTAAGCAGCATCCCCCTCCCCCAAAAAAATCTGGAAGAAGAGCTATGGCTCAAGTTGTATACTGGATTTAGGTCCTAAGTTCAAGCTCCAGTACTGGCACAAAAACTATTGCAAAATTTGTGTTATGTACATTTTGTCACACACAGAAACAAAAAAGGATGTTCTAATGTATTAACTTCATGTGGAAGAATTCCCAAGTTTCTTGCTGGCACCCAGCAAGAATCTTTCTGATTCTCTATGTCCATGTGATTTTTTTTTTCTTTTTAACCAAGATATTAGAAAGTGGGACGGGAGTATTAGATAATCTAATCATGATATTTGGGCCAGGCTCAAATTTGGACATTTTTCATATATGAACAATTTTCTTACTCATTTGGGATATAAGATGATATCTCAGTCTGAGGGAATTCTTTTTTTAAGCAGAAGCTGGCAAAAAACACTGAGTGGATTTTAAGACAAACAGACTGGTAGGAGGAAAGTTTTTACAGAGTACTGATGTGGTATACTTGGTTACAGTTAAGTGAGAAACAGTCACCCACAGCTTATGGTCCTGCTCATCAACCCTATTGCTGTGTGAGTTTCCCATGGAGACTGAAAGGAAGCACATTCCTGAGTGGGAACCATGTCCACAAAGCAAAGAATAACCTGAATAAGCCCATCTTTCCACGTGAATGAGTTTTATTTGGGGTAATTTACAGAGCAGTGGGTGATTCTGGAAGAGCTGTTCTTCAGACATCCCACCACTCCTTGATTATGTTTTTCCTTTACTCTGGGCAGTAATCTTTGCTGGGAGTGATGGCCAACCAAGCAGAGAGGGAGTGGTAACTAATCATCTCTCCTTAATAGTCACTCCTGGAGGGCAATTATAACTACACCCTTGTCCCTAGGGAAATGGTTAACAGTCTCAGTGTTGATTAGCATATGATTAGTCCTTGATTAGTTTGATGGTTATGATCCATAAACATTTTGTTTATGTTCTTGCCCTAATCCAAGGACCTCTGGTGTATTATCATGGCAGTTTCTGCCCCAAATTGTGAGATTATGTCAAACAGGGATGACCAGTTTTTCCAACTAAAATATAAAGAAATAGATTTCATGATATTTGGCTCATACTCAAGATATTAAATTGCAATTTCCCAGAGTGCTTTCCAAATCATGCAGTATTTTACTGACCATGATTTTGTGATAGTGGAACTATGGACTTTAGGAAAGTGAATGTTTTAGACAGGAGACAAGTACAGATCTAGACATAGTATATGATAGGATTTCCATATGTTAAATATAACCAAAGTCTTCTCAGGGCCTCAAATCCAGAATTGAGGGAAGAAAGAGCTTCCCCTTCCAACTCAAGTTTAAAATCTACATATAAAAGAGGTAAGGTTAGCGGGCGCTGGTGGTTCACGCCTGTAATCCTAGCTACTCAGAAGGCTGAGATCTGAGGATTGAGGTTCAAAGCCAACCCGGGCAGGAAAGTCCATGAGACTCTTTATCTCCAATAAACCACTAGAAAACCAGAAGTGGCACTGTGGCTCAAGCGGTAGAGCACTTGCCTTGAGCTGAAAGAGCACAGGGACAGTTCCCAGGCCCAGAGTTCAAGCCCCATGACTGACCAAAAATTAAAAAAGGTAAGGTTGGACAGGATCCCTTGAAAGGCAAAATAAGGAATCTGACTGCAAGTTAATAGCATACATTTCCTATGAAGGTGTTCCTTGGCAACTGTGGAGAGGTTCTACATTCAGTCATGGGAACTGTCTAAAATCATACTGTATGTGCAGTAGCTACTATGCTCCTTATAAATCAAATAGATTTCCTTCTATGTTCTCATAGGCTGGTTTCTGACCCTGTAAGGTTGAGCGCCCAACTCTGTACCATGATAACGTTAACAAATTAAGAATGATGTAAGCTTATCAGGTTGACATGTGAAACCCAGTAAGGCTAGTACCAGGGAATTCTATATACCAGTTTAGCTTTTCTTGAATGAGGTATGAAGAATCACAGCCCTTACTATTGGGAGATTGAAGGAATTGGTAGGAAAATCTCAGTCACACTCAACCACTGCATAAAATCAATGCTTTTACTATGGGTTTCATCTCTCTGTCTGGTGTGGTGTTGTGGCAATCAACCATCAATGTGCTTTTTCCCAATCATCCTCTATGCCTAAACTTCACAATACATTGCATGCTTATTACCTTCCAGTCATCCATCTGCAATGTCAAGAACATTTTGTGTTTCATACATTCCTCTTGGAGTTGATTCAAGTTAACCATAGCTTTCTGGAGCTTTTCCTGAATGAAAATATTGGGTAAGTTAAGTTTAAGCAATTAGACTTTTTATTATCTACCTAATAGGAATCCCTGCATTCCAAGATATATTAAAATCACAGGAAACACGTACTGAGTTCTTAACAATTTCCCAAGAAGCATGTTGACGGCTATATATGGTTACACACAGATCATCTATACATCTCTGAACAGGTGGTATGTGAAATCATTTCTGTGATGTAGAAAATAGGACTTAGAGAGAGATTGAGTGGTATCTCCAAAGATCTATAAAAGGTAGGTAGGAAAGCTATGATCCAGTTTCATCTGCTGATCCAGGGCCTGAGTCCTATCTATGGCAGTCTTACCATAGAAAAGCAACCATAGAATATGATACCACCAAAAGGGGATATTTTATGAAATAATATGCTGACCCAAACATAATATCAGGTGTGAGGGGGGGGTATACAAGAGACTTTTTAAGTCAGAAATGAAAGGTGAGTATGAAACTTCCAATGAAGTTGAAAAGCTCCATTATTTGGCTACTTTCCTTAATTTATAAGAATTCATGGGACTGGGAAGGTGGCTCAGTGGTAGAGCACTTGACTTGCATGCATGAGGCCCTGAGTTCGATTCCTCAGCACCACATAAGCCGGAAAAAAAAAGCTGGAAGTGGCGCTGTGGCTCAAGTGGTAGAGCACTAGCCTTGAGCTGAAGAGCTGAGGGACAGTGCCCAGGCCCAGAGTTCAGGCCCACGACCAGACCCCCCCCAAAAAAAAAAATCATAAAGAAGAGTTGTCACAAGTTCTGAAGAATGGTATTAAGAAACCAATTAGAAAGGACTCAATATACTCATCAAGCTTCTAGGATATTTATATTTATATGCTCATTGAGTAACTTGAAGCTACTGCAAATTTCTCATTGTGGTCAAAGGTAAAAGAACTGGCTCCTGTCTTCTACAAGCACAAGTATACTCATTAATTTCCAAGCATTCTCAGTAAAAGGCTCTGTGTAAAATGACTTAATGCTTTGTACACTGTAATATCCTTAAAGCATTTACAACTTCAGGTATGTGTGTTAGGAAGGCAGAAGACTGCTATTACCCCCATTTACAGTGGCATGGAGCAAGACATGAATATTTTAATTAACTTGACCCAATATCAATACTAAAAAGTGCCAGAACTTAAACTGAAGCTATGAAGTCTGGTATTGAGGCTTAAACAATTACCCTGTGCTGTTCCTTATTATTTTGCGGAAAAGTACTATAAATGGAAACACCCTCATTAGTTATGGAGTCAAAGAAGAGCCTCATGTGCTGAGGGGTGATCAGGACTGAAAGATCCTTATGAAAGACTTGGAACCTTCAAAAGAAACAATGTCTGCTTTATAGAGGACAGAACAAGAAACCCATACTGAGCACATTTCCCTCACATCAAGCAGGGCAGTGAGAATGACACAGCAGGATTGGCTCTGCTGTTTCCAACTTGCCATTGTAAAGAGTTCCTGCCTTTAGAAGCTCTCCAGAAAGCCAAAGCTTTCCTTGCTCTTAATTGACTTAAAGTAAGTTGACTTGATCACGACCTCTTCAATGTTGGAGGTCACATAGTTGGGCAGTACTTTATTACTTTCCTGGTAGTGGTAGCAAAGCCTTTGCAATGTGGAGTATAACAGTTGCACAGACTACTTCTCAGGGGCCCAAAGGCTGCTTTTATTGAAAACACTGACTTCATTTGGGCCTGAAAATGTATAACAGGTGACCCCAAACAAGATGAAAATATTTAACATCTCTGTCTTCATATTATGTGGATGTCTTTTGTTGCCTTATTAACCTTTGTAGATCATCTGAGAAATATCTTGTCCTGAACTACAACACAGGGTTACACACCTCTTCCCCTCTTCATGGATAAAGACCACTACCAGCCACCATTACTGGAAACCCATGAAAAAGGAGTGAAGTGACATCTAAGTTCCTGGAAAATCTCTGCCTCTTTCCCGAAAAGACATGAATATTCATTCCCTCTATTAGCCAACCTGTCTCCTCAATAATTCCTATTCTGTATCTGTAACCCTTCAACTCCACTGAAGTTGAAAAGCTCCATTATTTGGCTACTAAATAAAGCCTTTCTTCCTCAACACTGTTTCTCAAATATTAGTATTTCTGTGAGATGAGCTCCAAGACCATGAACTAGTAACAAAAAGAAACCTATGACTTGCCCAAACAACCCATAATTTCAAAATTTTTGTGTTATGGTTTGGATGTGAAATGTTTCCTGAAGCCTATGTGGAAGTCTTAGTCCCCACACAATGTTCACAGGTAGAGTACTAAAGAACAGATTGGATCATAATAGCTCTGACCTAAAAATGGTTTAGTTCATGATAGATTCATAATTTAGAGCGACTATTTGAAAGTGACAAAAACTTAGAAGTGACAAAAACCTAGCTGAAAGGAGTGGGTCTTTGGGGCATGCCCTTGGGGACCCTCCTCTCATTGCTTCTAAGCTGCCATAAGGTGAGCAGCCTCCTTCATGACCACATGTTCCTGTGGCCATGAAATCCTGTCACACCTCAGGCCCAAAATAGTTGAACAAACCACTCTTAAGACTGAAACCTCTGAAACTAAGAGCTAAAATAAACCTGTGTGTGCCAAGTACCAATGGCATGCCTATAATGCTGGATATTTAGGAGGCTGAGATCTGAAGATTGCACTTCAAAGCCAGCCCAGGTGGGAAAGTCTGACTCTTACCTCCAATTAACCATACACATACACCAAAAAAGCCTGAAGTGAAGCTGTGGATCAAGTGGTAAAATACCAACCTTGAGGGGGAAAAAAACGCAAGGAACACTGCCAAAGTGTCACCAAGGGACACTGCTGAGTTTAAGTCATAGTATCAGCACAAAAATATAGATAAGCAAATCAATTAATTAATTAATTAAGCCTGTCCTCACAATTTTTCTAAGGCATTTAGCCACAGGAACAAAAAGCTGACTAGCACACTTGGACTCTCCTGGAATCTTGTTTGAAGCCCTTTTCCCCTCTCAGTGAGAATGTTTCTGTATTAATCAGCCTTTTGTCACAAATATCTGAATACCTTTTTTTTTTTGGTCGGTCATGGGGCTTGAACTCTGGGCCTAGGTGCTGTCTCTCAGCTCTTCTGCTCAAGGCAAGCACTCTACCACCTGAGCTACAGCACCACTTCCAGTCACAAATATCTGAGACAAACAATTTAAACAAAGGATTTATTTTGGCTCATGGTTTCAGACATGTCTGGTGCATGATGAACTGGATCTGTTATTTCTGAGCCTGTAAGACTGAACATCATGGTGTAAGGGCACAGTGGAACAAATCCGCTGCTCTCTGGTCTGTAAGAAGCATGAGAGAAGATACCTAGAAAAGTCCCAGAAATTCACTCACCTTGTAGCTCTGGTATACTTCTTCCAAAAGAGCTGTGGCATGCCCTTGGTGCTGTGACCGTTCACAGCGCCAGCAAATGAGCTGGCCTTCATCTTCACAGAACAGGTGAAGCTTCTCTCCATGTTCCTTGCACAGCATCTGCTGGTCTATCTCTTCCATCTCCTTGATGACTTCAATCATGTTTTCCAGCTCCTTGTTGGGCCGGAAGCTGTTTTTATCAAACGGGCCCCGACAGAGAGGGCAGTCCAATTTTGTCATTGCTGGATTCAACAGGCGTACTCTGTTAAAGAATTCTATTATGCACAATTGGCAGAAGTTATGTCCACATTTGATGCTCACTGGATGAGTCATCAGGTTCATACAGATGGGGCACGTGGCTATGTCTCTCATCTTCTTGGTGCTAGAAGCTGAGGCCATGGCACTTCTTAAGAAGTTCCAATATTACCTCTAGAGATATAGATGAAGCAGGAAGAATTTCCACAGTGTTGGATCCTGTGAGTTATGGCTTCCAAAAGCCTTGAAGATTTCTCTCTGGAAAGATTGGAATTTAGATGATGTATAAATATCTTGATGGTTTAACAGAGGAACCATTTTCATGTGAGGCTACTTATATTTAGCTCACTGAAAACTTAATACAGTTTTAAAATCCATGTTGTCACTCTTGATTTTATTTACCTAAAAGCCACATGTGGCTAATGACTACATGAGAGCCCTGACATAGAACTTTCCATCCTTGTAGAATGTTCTCGTGAGCCAAGTGCTGAGATTAGAAGGCAGAGTTCCTCACTGAAGCTGAAGCAAGATCAAGAACTCAGTGACGGCCTGGTGACTGTTGCTCAAGCCCATTCCTAGCTACAGGAAATCCTGACAGTATTGGGATTGATTGTTTTGATGCCAGCCTTGGTAGAAAAAAAAAAAAACAACAGACTGTTTTGATGCCAGGCTTGATAGAAAAAAAAAAAAAAACATTCTCAAGATTCTCTTTTTTGGTGCTGGTCCTGAGGCCTTGAACTCAGGGCCTGGGTGCTATCTCTGAGCTCTACCACTTGAGCCATACTTCCACTTCCAGATTTTTGCTGGTTAATTGAAAAAACTCACAGACTTTTCTGCCTAGGCTAGCTTTGACCCAGGATCCTCAGATCTCAGCCTCCTGAGTAGCTGGGATTACAGGTGTGAGCCTCTAGCACTGGCTTCAAGATCCCTTGTCAGTCGTGGGGCCTGAACTCTGGCACGGACCATCCCTCAGCTCTTCAGCTCAAAGCTAGAGCTCTACCACTTGAGCCACAGCACCACTTCTGGCTTTTTCTGCTTATGTGGAGCTGAGGAATCAAACCCAGGGCCTCACACATGCAAGGCAAGCACTCTACCACTGAGCCACCTTCCCAGCCCAAGATCCCTTCTTAATGAAGAAATGGACCCATGGTGGAACATGCTAACTAGCAGGAAGTCTAAATGTGAATTGCATTCTGATAAACACTTAAGGAGGAAGCAAAATCCTCTGAAATAGCCAGCATAATTCAGGGCTGGAGGTGTGGCTAATCAATAAGCACACTTACTTAGTAAGAAGCCCAAAGCTTTGAATTCAAACCCTTGTGCCATCACTATCACCACCACCACCACCAAAAGCTTCAAAGCCTTAAAGCCTCAGTCATGAAGGGTGAAACACATTCCTAATTCTACAAAGTTCAAAAATAGTACCAAACCTATAGCTTTATCATGGGTAAAAACACTCAAGTAACTGAGGGGTCGATGTAGGATTCCAGTGAGACTACCAATTTGACTCCAACTTGACCATGATTCCCAACCTACATAAATCACAAGATAAGGGGTTCATAAAGTCTCAGTGGTGACCTAACCAGGAGAATAGTGAAAATAACCAAGACAACCAGAAGAACTGGTTTGGTCTTCTTGTGTCCCAACTCTGCCTGAACTGCAGGGGGAAAGAGATTTAGAAAGAGGACCACGGAGGAGGGGACACTGTTTCTAGTGAGCACTTATTCTGGGATCCTGTTTTAGCAGAATTAGGCAGCTGTATGTGTCTTCTAAGGACAGGACTACCTCCCAGAATAAGCCCAGCACCTTGGAGAGCCTCAGATATAAGAAAGGTGGGAAGGAAGGAAGGGGAGGTTGGGCCTAGGTGGGATGCAGGTGCTGGGTCTCATCACGGTCCACCACTGGGCACCTGGCAACCAGAGGCAGTGGAGGAGTTATCTCCATCTCCCCCTCCTCCACTCATCCCACCCCAGACATTGGGTCTGGGGGAAATGTGGCCAGTGATTTTCCTTTTGAAATGGCAGTGCTGAGAACTGAAAACGGGAATTCGCTGGATGCCAGCCAAAAGGAATGTTAGCTATTCTGGAGGCTTGAGAGCTGAGGATCATGGTTCGAAACCAGCTCTGCCAAAAACGCCCTGTGGGACGAGATCTCATGTCCAACACACACACACACGGAATTCTAACCACATTCTCATAACCGACCAGGGCCTTCGATTCTTGTAAAGCCTCCGCTCCCGGGCGGTTTATCACTCCCGTAAGCGGGACGCTCGAGCGCCCCCTCCCGGGCACAAGGCCCCCTCACCCCTCTTGGGAGGCGCCTCGCGGGACGGTCCCCGGCCTCAAGCTCCTTCCAGCCCAAGCCTGCGGGTAGGAGGCGGAAGGACTCCGGAGAGCCCGGGGAAATCCGAGGAAGTGAGGGGAGGGTTCGGCGGGGTCGCGAACCAGAAAGTTCCGCGGTCGAGGCGGGGACTGGCTCTCCGCCCTTCCACGCACCCACGGCCCACGCAGAGCGGCCTCCCCCGATTCCCCCCCCCACTACGCACGACCTTTCACCTGCACGGCAGGCGAGGGGCGGCAAGCTTCCCCGCCCCCTCCCCACGCGTGACCTTTCACCTGTACGGCGGGCGAGGGGCAGCAAGTTGTCCCCAGCTTCCCCCTCAGGCTGCCCCTTCCTGAAGTCGGACCAACCCACCGCCAGACAGCAGCGCCGAAATGAAACTATCGCGGGAGGCGGGGCCGCGGGACTTTGGGCCAATGAACGCGCTCGCGCCTTGCGCTCTCGGGTTGGTCCTTTCACCGAGGGGAAAGTGAAGGAACGCCTGCCTTCTCGGTCGCGTGCGCTCTTTTCTTTCTCTTTCTCTTTCTCTTTTTCCTCTCTCTCCTTCTCTCTCTCCTCGCTCTCCTTCCTCTCCCTCCCTCCCCCGCTGGCAGTCAACCAGGACGTGAGATCGTTTTACTTTGCCTCCACTTCTGTGAGCCTTTCTCATGTACTTGCTCAAGGAAAAAACAAACACAAATAATGAACAGATTGGAAGGATGGATGGAGCAACTCGCCAGGTGCATCACTGAGCACCAGCCCTTAGGGCAAAGGACGGGAGCCACTGGGTCACTCAAGCACTACATTTCCCATAGGTGTTAGCTGCTTCTTCCCTGCTATCCTCTCCAGGAATGCCAATCCCTGAGAGTGAGTGTAAGTTTGTCCAGTAGAACAAAACCCCCCAATCCTCAGAGATCGTTTCCAGTAGGGCCAACCCGTAAGAAGGATGCTTTAAGAGGAGATAGTTCTGTTAAGAACTATACGCTGACGAGAGGGAAGGTGGATCAGACAAACACACTTACGATGACCAGGTGAAGTATTTGCAGGTGAGGCCTTTGAGAAGTAATTAGGTTAGTTCAGTTTATGTAGAATGGGCTCCTCGTGATGGGGTTTTGAGGAAGAAGACAGTCATCCTCAAACCAGGTGCCAAATCACCTAGACGTTGTATTTGTCTTCCTAGACTCAAGAAACTTCAGTTGTGTAAGTCACTATCTATATTTTGCTATAGTACCCCAAGCTGAGATACTTACAATATGGATTAAATTTATTTTAATTTTTTTATTTGGTGGATCCTGGAGCTTGTACTCCCAGCATTGTACAATCTAAGCAAGTTCTCTACACTTGAGACATCATGCACCCAGCCCTTTTTTAGTTTTTCAGTTAAGTGTCAGTCTTTGTGAAGGCTAGCCTGTTCTCCCCTCTTTGCTTCCTGAATAGCTGGATTACAAGCATGTACATATCACTCTCAGCTCTCTCTTTTTAAGTTCTTATGTGAGTGTGAAGGCTTGAAGACAGTTTACATATCTGAACAGAGTGGAGATTGTTAACTGTCTAATGCAATGTCTTTTCTCCCTGTTTGTTTTTTAATTAGGAAAACCTGATTTTTAGCTTGCCACCCTTAAATGTTTGTCAGAACTCTTAGTTGTAGCCAGAGACAAAGTTGGTGCTAATGTGTGGCTCAGGTAGAATTGGTAGTTGGAAGATGCTACAATGGAAGCTAGCTGAGACACTGTCAATTCAAATTCATAAACTGTAAAAATAAAAGAACTATCTGGAACTTTGGAATTGTAATTCAGAAGATACAGGTTCAGGCAGCTTAGAATCAGTATTTCCAGGCAATCAGAAAAGTAGGAAATGATATGGAAAATTGAACTTTAAGATGGAACAGAAGCAAATGATAGAAGAGTATATAAACAGAATACAAATATCCATCAAAGAAGAGAGCTTTATCTCTTTTTTTGACTGCCAAAATAAAAGGTTATGTAACAAATAAACATCTTTACTTTTGCATGTAAAATACATGTTTTGGGGGGGCTGAGATGTAGTTCAGTGGTAAAGCACTTGCTACTCTTTGATCCTCAGCACCAGACAGAAATAAACACCTGCATATACAATATTGGGACAATGAATGCTATTGAATAAGAATTAGATATTATAACAGGATTTGTGCACATATTAATTATATTCTCTAGGCTTTCACTGAAAATTTAGCTACTAGGAAAAAAAGAAAAATAATCAAAATTTGAGTTATCTTGGATTCTTATTCTCTATTTTCAAAGTATTCATCGAATATCTACTCATAAGCTTAAAGTTAACCAGTATAGGCCCAAGAATAAGATTTTTATGCTGTTGCTATTGTGTTGTATATCATGTCTCAGAAATTCAATTATCTATAGTAAGACTTTAAAAAAATCTAAAAATTTTCATTTTTTATGGCTCAGTATGTATATCTATGGACATGTCACAGTGAAGCCTCCCCCATACAACTAATATAAAAAAAACTTTTAAAAACTGTAAGCAGCTAGATGCTGGTGGCTCACAACTGTAATCCTAGCTATGCAGGAGGCTGAGATCTAAGGATCATGCTTTGAAGCCAGCCCAGGCAGGAAAGCCCATCAGACTCTTATCTCCAATGAACTACTACCAAAAAAAGCTGCAAGTGGCTCAAGTGGTAGAGCATTTTGCTTTGAGCAGAAAAGCTCAGGGACATTACCCAGGCCCTGAGTTCAAACTCCAGGATTGCTACACACACACACACACACACACACACACACAAGGTATAAACTCCTGATATACACCTTAAGACTTTAGAATCAATATATTGTTCCATTGTTAGTGACTTTAGGGGTTTTTCCATGTATGTCTGTGTACTAGTACTGGGGTTTGGACTCAGGGCCTCAAGGCTTGACCGCTTAAGCCACATCTATACTTCCAGAATTTTGCTAATTGGAGATATTTCTTGGCTTTGTCCAGCTGGAACCAGCATCCTAGATATCAACCTCCTGAGTAATTAGGATTACAGGTCCATGCCTGTAATCTTATACTCAAAAGGTATGCCTGTAATCCTCATTCTATACAAGCACCTATTCCCCAAGCAGGTCTGAAATCTGGATTTTTATTTGGTATAGGATATGAAGACATATGTATGCTGTCATCAAACCTGTTAATTGCAAAGGAAGATTTTCAGGAATCAGAATGCCAACTCTTTTGATCCCGAATAGTTATAATTATTTTTCATGGTGCCTTCGGGTAATAACTCAAGGTCATCTCAAGTGTCAGTGTGACATCAGAGCAGATGGAGCCCTCTAGAGCCATCCATAGGCAGTAGTTGGGAATATATGTGATTTGATGGTTGGCAGCTAGAAGTGTGTGCTTGTCAGTATTCAGCCTTTGGCTTTTCAAGCAAGCTGTATTTCACGGACAGGAAACAACAAGCTATCACAATTTGGAAATTCAATCTGGTGACACCATTGTTCCAGCTAACTAGAGGTAAAAGATGGATGCACCACTATCAGGGAATAGCTAGTACCTGTATAAACTATAAACCCTGTGTCCTAAAAAGCTTTCTCAATGTTGCTTTCACCATATTTTTCCTTTTATTTTTTCCAGAACAAGAAACAGTGAAGAACTTAGGACTTAACTGACTCAGTATATGTGGTTGGAAGACTCACTACTGTTTTGACTTTCCTGCTCTTTTGTTCAACTGAAAGAGGATTGCTTTCTTTCATCTCCTACACAGGAGTTCAAATGGAATCAAACAAAGTGAGAGGATCCAGATAATCTAGCTATTGGCATTACCCTACTCAACATCCAACCACTATTGAAAACCTAAGTGCCAAATCCTCTAAAGAAACATATAGAGGACAATGCTTTCCCCTCATTGAGGATGACCATCACTGAGACAGCCTTTCACTCTTCATATTTATTAGTTCAATATACATTTATGAAATAAATATTTAAAATCTTAAAATAGCAGCCACTAATCTAGGTTCTAGAAGAATCAGAGTGAAGAAAATGGACCCAATACCGGCCTTGATGGGATTTACACATTTTTCCTGTTGGTTAAACAAAGAAAAAGACTTAGTCCCTTTCCTTATTAATCAGGAGGAGGCAGGAACAAAGGGTAATTTTGATAAAGCTGGAAAAATGGCAGGAGAATATCAGAGAAAGAAGCCTTTGGAAAGGTAAAGATAGGGGAACCAGTAGTCATGCTATAAAAACATACAACTCCTACCTCATAGTCTAGAAAAACTTACCACTAGGAGCTGCTCATTCAGATAAAGAGAAGTTGCAGTAGAGTAAGTACCACATAGCTATTCTCCTTGTGCAGCCTGATCATCCAGAATCCAAATTGAGGGTTAAGATTCATGTTAATGCCCCTCTGTACATTTTTTTTCCAAAGAAACTCCTAAATCCCAACCAGTTCCTTCTCCAACATCCACTTCAAAGTAGTGTCTTCCTGCCAGGTGCTGGTGGCTCACACCTGTAATCCTAGCTACTCAGAAGGCTGAGATTTGAGGGGTGTGGTTCAAAGCTAGCCCAGGCAGGAAAGTCCTTGAGGACCCTTATTTCCAATTAACCACCAGAAAACTGGAAGTGATGCTGTGGCTCAAGTGGTAGAGCTCTAGCCTTGAGTTGAAGAGCTCAGGGACAGTGCTTAGGCCCAGAATTCAAACCCCACAACTGACCCCCCCCAAAAAAAAGTACTGTCTTCCTGAAGTGAAGCCCTCACAGCCCAGGACACAAGGGAAGGCAGTAAATCTTTGAGGTGAAGCCTCAAGATCTTTCTTGGCACATCCAAGAGTCACTTGTCTCTGGTCTTCAGACAGAAGTAGATCTGGATGTACAGTGCTTAGAGTCACATTGACTACAAAATAACATAAAACCACCACACAACCAAAGTAATTTGGGGAGGGGGGAAAGAGAACACATTGTACTTGCTATTAAGTAATTGATTTAATTAATTCATTTTGCCAGTACCAGGAAACTTGGGGCCTACCTAGCACTTGCTTGCCTTTGTTTCATGATGGTACTCTAGTACTTGAGCCATACCTCCAGTCCATACAGTATTTTCAACACTGCCCGTATTCTCAAATCAAGCTTTGTTCCTTACCAGAAATGTCAGCGAACTATGAAATGAAAACCATTGTGTCTGGATAATCAAAGGAGACTAGGATCTAGAAGGGTCTACAGATATAGCCAATATGCAAAGCATACTAAGTGTGTGAGCTCACAGAGTACGTGAACACAGAAGAGAGACTTTGACAGCACACTGAAAATAAGTAAAAAAAACTCTGGTTGAGAGCCTGTTCAGGACAGGTGGTGACCCTGATTCCTACTGAAGGACCCCTCTCATCCATATCATTTAGGGTTCATA